GTAGGGGGCATGCAGGAGGCAGCCAATAGATGTATGTCTCTCATTAATGTTTCTCTCTCTCTTTCTTCCTCTCTCTCTAAAAATTAATAAAAACATAGTTTTTAAAAAGTAGAATAAAAGTGCAGAGCAATTAAACACATTAGTGTCTTAGGTCATATTTTGTCAGCTGGGGATGGCCAGCACCTCCCTGTATTAACAGTGCCATCCCTGTGGNTGGAACAACGAAACACATTAGTGTCTTAGATCATATTTTGTCAGCTGGCGATGGCCAGCACCTCCTTGTATTAACAGTGCCATCCCTGTGGTTTCTGACNCAGAGCAATTAAACACATTAGTGTCTTAGGTCATATTTTGTCAGCTGGGGATGGCCAGCACCTCCCTGTATTAACAGTGCCATCCCTGTGGTTTCTGACAAAACATCCCATGTTAAGATGAGAACACAGAGGCTTTTTCTGGGGTGTGAGGGGTCAGGACATAAGGACATATGAGATTTCAGGGCAGCACCACTGAAATGACAACAGGAGGGGATCGCATCCAGGTCCGACAGGAGTGCAGGGCTGGACTGCCATGGTAACCGGTCCCCCTCAGGGCAGGATGTACAGCCCTGGGAGACCCCAGCTCCTGACCCAGGGGGGCCTCCGGGGATGTGGTCCTCCAGGAAAGAAAATGGCAGAGCAACCGGCATGGTACCAGGAGCCCCGTGTCTTTTGGGGGAAAGCATCCCTACTAATCATAGTGATGTGTAAGACTGGGAGAAGGCGGGCAAGAATTGTCAGGCCAACATGGGCACTTGGGGATGGGCATTAAAACAGGAAAATCTGTAGAAAAATACAAAAATATTCTTGACTGAACATGAGGTGAAATGGTACAAAAGTCTTTGCGATATTACTACAAGTATGTGGACAGTGACTGCATCTGGCCAGGAAGGGGCTGCACAGTGAGGGCGGGTTGGGGAGAAGATAGAAACCCCAATTCCTTTGGGAGCAGGACTCTAGAAGGAGCTCGAGGGGTGGCTTCTGGAACCCGGGCCCCTTTGACTCCCTGGAGTCCTGGAGGGCGGGTCACCTGGGCACCCGCNACAGGACTCTGGAAGGAGCTCGGGGGAGTAGCAGGGTGGCTTCTGGAACCCGGGCCCCTTTGACTCCCTGGGGTCCTGGAGGGCGGGTCACCTGGGCACCCGCACTCACCTTCAGCCTGAATTGCACTCTTTTGGCAGTGTGGGACACCTGTCCCCCCTGCAGGGGGGTGGAGTCGAGGGCCCCATCAGTCAGCTCCTGTTTGTTCTGTGTGGAGCTCTGTAAAGACAGTGCCCAGTCACCAGGCGGAAAACCCCAGAGCCCTGTCTGCTGCTTCTCAGACCCTGCGATTCTTTCCACTCCAAACACACACCCCCCACATTTACTCAGGCCTCCACCCAGGAGGGAAAAGACGTGACAGCCGGAGGGCCTAGGATTCTCACTGACACAAATTAAAGGCCCCTGGGGAAGCCCTGTCCACCCAGCCTGCCCTGTCCTGGGCTGTGATCAGGACGAGATCACTGGGATATTTCCCACCCAGCAACCTGTTCCTGCCCAGGGTCCTCCCTTCAGGTCCCTCTTCCCCCCACATGAAGAGGAGGGGATGGGGGCTGCCCAGGGATGGCTCACAGAGGTGGCCTGGCCTGAGGCGGCCTGATCGAGGCTGCCTTGGGTTTCCTGAGGGTGTCTCCTGGAGAATGACCAGAGACGTTGGGGGTGAGGGTTGAACCAACGTCTCCAGAGTTTGGAAAAACGCTCACTGAGGGGTTTCCGGAAGCAAGAGCCCCGGTAAGGGGGGACACAGCAAGAGAACATCTTAAACTGTCAAATGTCTCTTGCCAAGTGAGTTGGCTGTTGGGCTGTTTCAAGAACGTGGTTGCCTGGTTATGGGGGTTCCAAGTTCTTTAGGGAAGTGACCTCACTTCCTGGGATCCCCTTCCCTGAGCCCCCTCCTCTGATAACAGTTACACAGACAGTCCTGTGGGCCACCAACTGCTCACCCCCTTCTCCATGGAATGCCATACTGTACACAGTGACACCAACACGCCCCTCTCCACAGCCCCCTAGAAGGCCTGGGTGCAGCCAGGGCCCCAGATTTGAGGAGACAGACCTGGGCTCAGACTCAGCTCCTCAGTCTTTCCTCTTCTAGATCCTGGCTGAGCCACTGTGCCCGTCAGGGCCCGTCTCTCCTGCCCGCGCAGTGGATTATTGCGCAGGGACTTCTCAGGGATGCTCAGGCACATGTGGGGCAATAGCTGTAAAGCTGGAGGAGTGCTGTCACGTGGAGGCCGTGCCTCCAACCTGTGTTCGCTTTCTGTCGTCACCTCCTCTGTGTCTCCTCCTCTTAGTATCCCTCCCTTAGTCATTACATCACGCGCATGTGTGTGTGTGTGTGTGTGAGTGTGTGTGTGTGTGTGTGTGAGAGTGTGTGTGTGTGAGAGTGTGTGTGTGTGTGTGTGAGAGTGTGTGTGAGAGCAGGCACACATGCCGATGCTCATCTACTGGATCTGAGAAGAAATAGCCCCACATAAGCAGGAATCGGCAAGAGCTTGCAATATGTCAGGATTTCTAATTCCCAAGCCAACCCTATGGGACAGGTTGGAGCCTTTGCCCGGAAGGTTGGAATACTCCTGACCTCTGGACTCTGCCTGTCACATACCCTGGCCAGTCCCTGCCTCTCCCTCCAATTTAGAGCGAGATTCAAAACTGCATAAGCATGAGCTCTGCATAAAGGGGTCCCCAGCCCCCTCCACCCTGCGTGGCTGTGGGCAGGGGTGCCCTCCATGTTCTCTGACCTGGCCTCTCCTCAGACAAGGACTGGCCAAATGCCCGTCTAGGCTGCCAAATGCTCGCCCTCTCCCCTGTGCCATGTCCACGTCTCTACATGGTTACACTGGCGCAGCCTCTTCCAGAGCCCCTGAGAAAGCCTGGGTGCAGCTAGGACCCCAAACTGCGAGCACACAGAGCTGGGTCATCCCTGGCTCCGTCCGCATTCTGACCACTGGGCAAAGCATGGACCTCTCAGAACCTTCCTCTTCTCCCCCAGTGGCCCCCCATGACCCCCCTCTCCTGGTGGACACATCCTCGTGTAGTGTGGATGTGTGCCCCTCCCTTACGCGTGGACTCCATTAGTGACTCCATAGAAGACAGCAAAGTAATCCAAGGACACTTCCAAGACTTGGCCATGAAAAGTCAGTGCCTGCCCACTGCTCTGTCTGACCTGCGCCCTCTCTGCCTTGTCTCTCTCAGGTCCCTCACTCCGGGGACTCGGCCTGTGTTATGCGTTGCTATCTGGAGAGACCCACGTGGCCTAGCACCGAGGGAGAGAAACAGAGGAAGTCAGGCCTTCAGGCCGAGCTGACTCCTGGCGAGACCCCGAGTGAGCTCGGATCCTGAGCAAAGCNCTCTGACCCCGAGTGAGCTCGGATCCTGAGCGAAGCAGGGCGCGCCTCAGCTGANGGCCGAGCTGACTCCTGGCGAGACCCCGAGTGAGCTCGGATCCTGAGCAAAGCAGGGCGCGCCTCAGCTGAGACCGCAGCCCCAGCCTCCTGAGCGTCGCTGGCAGGACTCAGCTGGGCCAGGCTGGATTCCTCGTCCAAGAACCTGTGCGGGAGTGTTTCTTGGTTGTCACTACTGTGAGGTAACAGCACGCAGCAATAGATCACTAATAGGTGTCCCTCCAGCCACAGTCACCTCTTTCTAACCTCCTCTCTGTCCAGACACCTGCCTCCAAGTGTCCGCACTGTTATGCTGAGTGCCAGGAAAAATATACCTGAGTATTGGGGAGTGGAGGGAGGAGTCATCACATGGACAAATAACTCACCCTCCGAGTTTCCTACAGGTGGGACAGAAGGAGATTTTGGAGACAGTTGCCTAATTTCTCCCTAAAGAATGCTGGGTTAGAGGTAGGGAGTGGCACAGCCGGATGATGGGATTCTCAAGGAGGGGCTCTACTGAAGCAGCAGGGACAAGTCTAGAGGTGGCCTTGGATATACAGGCGAGTGCTGACCAGCCTCCTGGCATCATGGAGAGGCCCCTATCTGCAGGGAGAGCCGGCGCTTGCTCAGGCAGCCCCTGTGCCTTGCTTCTTTCTAAATGCTCGGCCCCTACCACCTTGTCTGGTCTCAAAGGTCCTGTGGGTAATGACATACCTCTTTCCATGGCTAATGGAGTGGACTGTCACTTATGACACTCAGCATGAGCTCTCCACTCATCCCTTAGAGCCCTCTCCTCCCTGCTCCGATAAGGGCCTGTCTTCTCACTGGGAACCCAGAGGTTGTCTGGTCTCCAGGACTAACTTGAGCTCCTCATACCTGGAACACCCATCACCACATGGGCTTCCGCAGACACCCAGCTCCTGGCATTTAGCAAACTATTGTGAGCATCAGCTCAGAAGACAGGGTGGCTCTCTCATCTCCACAGGGACACCCACACAGGCTAAACACACACAGATGCACAAGGACAGGAAACAGCTCAGGAGCCCAAGACACAGGACGTGGGATCCAGTCCTCTGGGCACTGCTGAGTGTCCCATTCACACTGACAAGTGCCACATGTCCCCAGTGCCCCCCAAGGAATGCCTATTTCAGTGTTGCCATCTCCCCCATGCTCTCGGGGTCATGCTGGGCAGGAGCAGGTAGGCATGAGGCCCTGTGTGAACACCTTGGCTCCTGCTCCCTGCAGATCCTTGATCCCCAGATGCGGATCCAGGCTTGAGAAGGAAAAGCATGGCTGGGCCCAGCAGAATGCTTCATATGCCCACCCCTGGGACCTGGCATATTGGCTGCACTAAGGAGCAGGGCTAGAGGACGACAGAGGTCCCACTGAGAGAGGTGGTCAGTCATGCTGGAGGCCAGAGGGAGGGCACCCTCCTGGCACATTCCTGGGTAAATCCCCCCCATGGAGCATCCACAATTACATTCACCAAGAAGGGGCAGTTTTGACACCATAAGAAGCCAAAGAAAAGCAGGAAACAGGCCATATTGGTGAAGGAGACACTTTATTTTTCTTGGGGTTTCAGGTGGCCTTGGGCTGGATGGGCTCACTGCCTTCCCCCGGAGCAGGGTGGCGCTCCGTGGCTCTGCTCGTGGTAGTCGTTGGCAATGCCGCCCATCACGGACAGAAACTCAGAGAACTGGATCTTCTTATCTGCATTCTTGTCCGAGTCCTCAAAGATAGAGGACAAGTAATTTTTGCCCTTCTCTTCCTGTGGGAAAGACACAGAACAAGACAAATTCAGTCTTAAAAGTGTTGTGGGTGGAACAGGAAGAGGCAGAGGGGGAGAGAAGCCCCTGGGGCCCCACAGGAGCAGCCAGGGTAGGGCAATGGAGGGGCCGGGGGTGGTGGGGACATTTGCATTACCCTGCACTTCACTGAGGGACATTCCTTGGCCCAGTTGTTGGCATGAATGAGAGACCTGGCAAGCAGGCTCTGCCCGGAGCCCCACTGATCAAGGAGCCAGTGGGGTGGGGGGTCTCTAGACCCAGATGCGCTCCCTCCACCCACTTCAAGGACCTGACCTGCCTAAGTTCTACCCAGAAACTCAAAATGGACCCCACCCCTTGTCCTCTCCATTCCTAACCCTCCTCTCCTACCTTCTATTTGGCTTCCTGAATCTTCCATGCTCAGTGCCTTCTTTTGCTCACCTACTTCTGGGCCACCTAGTAACCTCTCTTTTTGTAACCAGTTCAATACATTCTAATTGTCGGATTGAATCAGGTCTACAAATGAGCTTTTTCATTCTAAAGAAAGGTGTTAAATTTTATCAGCAATGGAATTTCTATCACCTTCCCTTGGATCTCAGAGGATCTAACAGGCTTTTAGAGGCAGGGCCTGAGCATATGGGCTTCAGTCTCCTGGATGGAGTGTGACAAGCGGGAGGGGACCCATCCTTTATTCTCCTGAGGGACCACCTAAGAACTACCCTTGATCTCCACAGGTCTTTATACTTTGCCACACAGATCATCTCTTACATCCTGATAACAAGCTGAGATATAAAGTCTGCTTAGGCTTTTTTGAAGATGAGAATATTGAGGATGAGGGAATGGCAGTGACTTGTCCAAGGTCCCACAGCAAAGTGTCCTCCTCCATCCCAGGGCCCAAGCAAACTTGAGAAGCCACCACAACTCACACAAGCCTTGAGGAAGTTGGGGAAATTCTCCTTCAGCATCTTCAGCAGGCCTGGCTTGTCAATCTTGTCATCAGGTTTGGTGTATTTGTGGAACAGGACGACCATGTCCATCAAGGACTTCTCAGCTGGAGTGTGGCTCATCTTGGTTTTCAAAGAAGCTGCCAGAGGGAAAGACAGTGACCTTTGTCATCCTTCCACCCAGGTGAGGGTCTCTAAGTCAGGACAATGGGGTGGGAACTGAGGATGCAGTGAAGTGAGGCTCAGGTGGAGCAGAAGGAACTCTAGGAGGTGGGATAAGATGCTTATAAAGAGGAGAGTATGACCAAGGCTGGGACCTGGGCCCATGCAGGTCAGGGTCCAGAGGAGATGGAGGGGAACACAGAAGCCCGCTGTGGACAGGACCACAGGAGGCAGAAGCAGAGGGGGTAGGGGTCAACCACAAGGAAATGACTAAAGTCTTAGTTGGGACCCAAGCCAAACAAAGCCATCTCCTCCAGTCAATGTCAGGGTTAGAGTCACAGAGACAAAATAGCTTCCTTGCTAACCTGGTCTGATCTGCCCTGGGCTCCTCTTGGAATTAACACTGCCCCCCAGGGGTCCAGCGTGAACATAAAGCAAGCTCTAAGTGAAATGGGCCATGGAAGCTCCCAGAAGTGAGTGTGATAGGGTGGTGAGTGTGAGCAGAGAAACACAGCCCTGTCCTGAGTTCCAGCAGAGGTTTTCCTGGACCATCTCCACCAGTGGGAAAGAGGGACTGGAGGTCAGAGTTGGCATTACATTTGAAATAAACAGAAATACCGGCCCCAGTTTTAGGCTATTGGGTAGAATGTGGGGAGATAGGTTCCTTTGGATGACCTTTGTACCTCCTTGCTCTCTGGAACCCCAAGGCTAGACCATATTTAAATAAAGAGGTCTGACTTCCCAAAGCTGGTACCTCCACCAACAGTCTGGATCCCAAGCAGAGAAATGGGACAGTGCAGCCCTCACATCCCAGACTTTCCAAAGCTCCCAAGAAATGTGCATGGCTCACATGTGCGGACATCTAACACAAATTACCACTGCCTCCTGATCTGGAAGAAAGATCCTTGCTGTTATGTCAATAAGTGGAACCACCCAAGGCCTCTCAGAGCTGAGCACTGTGCACAGAAGGTCACCAGGGGAGGAGGTGTTAACCTTTGGTTGATGGGTCCTAAGCCTGGACTTAGGAGAACCTTCAAGACTTTGGTAGGGACACCCACTCTCCTCCAAGGTTGGAGTGCACAGTAGGTCAACAACCCAGGGCTAGACAGTCAGGTGAGTCCAGAGAGAAAAGAAGACAAGGAGAGGGAGGGTCGTGTCCTCAGCTCCCACCAAGGATATTCCCACAGAGTTGTCACAGAGGAGCCAACAGAGCAATGGGAGCATCGGTCCAGTCATCTTGTTGTAGATGAGGACCTGGGGACCCCAGTGGGATGAAGTCACACAGCCCCATTACAGGCAGAGCCCCATTACATCTGGACCCAGGCTCCTGAATCCTCTCCCATCGCTGCTTTCCCTACTCCTGCAGACGGCAGAACACTCTGGGCCCTGAGCAGTCCCCCTGGCAGAGTCAGGTACAGACTTACCTGAGCTGACGAGGTGTCACTGAGGAGAAGGTTGAGTGTGCTGTGCATCTGGGCAAAGATTGGTCCCTTTATAAGGCTCAGTCTGGCTCCTCCCAGGGACTGAGAGCCCTGGGGTCATGTTTTCTGTCTGCTTCCTGGACCATTGCTCCACTCAGGTGGGCGGGACACACCTAGGAGTGTGTGTTCAGCGTTTCCTGGTAAAATCCCAGGCAACTCCCAAAGGACTAGAGTCTTCTTCTGTCCCTCACTGGACCTGGGGCTGAGGTGGAGAAGACAGTGGGATGTGTCACAACAGGACAGGAAATTTGGTAGAGAAAACTAGGTTTCTGAACGTAAAGAGGGTGGGACTCTGAAAGGCAGCATGGTCCCTGTTCACTCATGACCCAGGCCGTCCACAAGTTTGTTCTGATATCTAACAAAAACTCACCATACCTGCCATATTGACATTCCTCCTAAACCTTCATAACCTTATGAGATGGTGCTGTTACCCGCATGTTGAGGACAGGGAACTGAGGGATTAAGAGGTAAGCAAAGTTCCCATGTGTACAAGGCTAATAGACAGGTCAAGATAGGACCCCAGAAAAGCCTGATCAAAACCTCACTCCTAACCCCACTGCTAAACATCTGGGGTCACTGCAGGGTCTGTGACCTCAAAGTCCAGGGGAGGGAAGCAGGGTCACCTCACTCCTATCTTCACGTTGGGTCCTCACTGGAGGGCCAGGAGGGAAAGAGGTTTCATAACCCACAGTGACAGACCAGGGGACACAGAGAGAGTAGTGGCTCAGCATGTCACCTGCAGGTGAAGGAAGACACGAGGTCAGAGCTCTGAGTCCTGATGTTAGCCCCACACTCTTGAACTTCACTTTGCAGCTGTAGAGGCTGCCTGGGAAGCCACTGTCCAGATTCAGGGATCTGAATTCAGTGACAGCCATGAAGTGAGCCAGCAGGAGATTGGGCAAAGTTGCCTCCCATCCATGATGATGACTTGCTATAAATTTTTCAATGATGTTCCTGCTTCCCTTATGCAAAACAGTCTGCTTAAGAGTGAGTGGCCATGCCCTGGGGTCTGCTGTGTCCCAACCTGCTGTGGAAAATCTAGTTCAGGTGCAGGAAACAGGAGCTTGAAGGTCAGGATGAGGCCTGGGCACCTCTGGGTAACTGCCCTGCTGACTCACTGAGTTCTTGTTCCTGCTCTCTGCTCCCTTTAGTTCCTCCCATGGGGTGCGGGAGCTGCTCAGACACTGCGCACCCTGGGCCCAGGCCGCCGCCGAGCCCAGGTCAGGGCCTCCCAATGCTTTGGGCCTGCACCCTGCAGCCTGGCCTTTCTGTCCCCAGTTACGTCTATGTTTGCACCAGCACCAGACCTCTCTGATTCACTCATTTAATTTATTCTCACCCTCAATAAAATCCTGCTGGAAAGGATACACAGGAAACCTGGATGGGGCGCCTTCCGGCAGGGGAACGGAGACCTCATTCCCACTTAAGTCCTAGTGTAGCTTTTGAATTTTGAACAATGTCAAAGTTCTTAAAATTAGTTTTTAATTTTTATATTTAAGTTTTCCCTTGTTTAAGCTCAGCCATAGTTTCAGAGTCTGAGCTGTTTAGAATCCTCAGCTTCAGGAGTCTAGGTATCATCACTCTGTTGCAAGGTCTCTCTCTTATTTTGTTTATCTCCTTTTCATCTCCATTACCGTTCAATTCCCCAAGAAAAGCAATATATTGTTTCTGTTTATTTTTATGCTCACCAATGTAAATAATTATTTTGGCCAATGTTCTATCTATGTTCTTTATTTAATATAGATCAACCATACAGAAAAGTACAACGAACAACAATGTACAGTCCAATGAATCACCTGTAACACCTGTGACTTCTTTCCCCCAGCTTCTTAAATGCTCTTTTCCATCCTCTCTCTTGCCCTTTCTAATCCCATTATTCATTCTGCAGTCAGTGTGACCTTTTTAAAACATAAATCTAATCAATCAAGTCCTTCCTAATTTGCTTGGGATTGAGGGGTTTCCAGGATACAGGGCTTTCATTGCTAAAACCTCAGTGTCCCCAGCAAATCAAGAATGAGTTGGTCACCCTAAGTAGATCCCCTACTGAAAAAGATATAGTACAGGCTTCCCATTTCTCTTTGAATAAACTAAAAACTCCCTGCCGTTCAAAGCCTTGGGTGATCTGCCCCTGCCCTCCAGGCTCGGGTCTCTCCCCTTGACACTCCCCACCTCCATCTGCTCTGGCCTCCTTCCAGATCCTTCATCACAGGCCATGTTCCTTCCCACCCCAGGGGCTTCCCTCACACTATTCCACATGCCCAGAACACTCTTCCACCCTTCATTCTACCTGTCTAACTTGTACTTTAGGCATCTGTCAAGAGGACCTTCCCTGGCCCCCTGATGGTCAAGTGTCCTATATTAAGGACTCCTGGGGAGGACAAGAGGACGAGATGCCTATAGGAAGGGTCTCGTTTGTTCATGGCTATATCACCAGGAGTCAGCACAAGCCTGCCCCACAGTAAGGTCAGAGTCACTCTCTGCTAAGTGATCTAGGGTGAGGAAAGGTAGGAAGGGGTAAAGGGGGGATAAATGGTAATGGAAGGAAACTTGACTTGGGGTGGTGAGCAACCACAATACAATATTCAGATGATGATTATAGGATTGTACTCCTGAAGCCTATATAATTTTATTAACCAATGTCACCCCAATAAGTTCCATTTTTAAAAAATCATCAAAATGTAAATACTCCTTTATCATCTGTTGACACTTGGTGGTGATTAATTAGCACCCAGCTGAGAGCAAGGCCCTTGGAAAGACACGTGAGATTTGAAGAGGGGTTGGAGGGGGGACCTGAAGGGAGAGATGGAAGATACTCTGCCTCCTCCTCAGCTCTCCTGTAGGAAGGAGGACTCCAGAGAAACCACTACCAGTCATAAGCATTTCTTAAAACCTCTCCTCACTCTGGGAACCAGGAACCTCACCTTCCACACCCCTTCTCTCAGCCCAGGATCTTGGCTACACCTGCCATGCCATAGACACTGCCCTGCTTGGGAAGAGTTTCTGTGAAAGGTTACCACTTGGATGTTGGCACCAACCAATGCAGGTGAGCCCTATGATCTTACTGCCTAAATATGCCTTGGCACAATCTGCCGCTGTGCAGCCCAGCCTCAGCCCCTTCCTCCCCCCACATTCCTTCTCCCACCCAGGCCTTTCTCAAGCCTTTCCCCACCCGAAATTCTGTCCCCTCCAGGAGCTCTACCCTTGATGTGTCCCCCCAACACCACCCCCATCTCAGAGCCCTGCCACCCAGACCATCACCCTAGATCTGCTATCCAGATTGTCTGTCTCCTGCCTTCTCAGCAGAAGCTGTGTCTTTCTCCCTCAGACTCTATCGCCTTTGAGGGTGAGACCTCTCCTCCCTCCCTAGGTGGTGTGTACCTCCATGGTGGGCAGCTTATTCAGGTCAGGGCTCAGTCTTTCCACCCAGACTGGGGCTTCCTGAGGGCCTCTCCTGCCTCTGACTCTCTCTAGACCCTGGTTCAGACCTCTAGGCACAGAAGGCAGAGGAAGGGAGAC